GGGGGGGGGGGGGGGGGGTGCAGGGGATTTATTCTCCCTACTGCTGGTTTCACTGGGCTCTGGGTCAGATTCTGAGTTCAAACACTCAGGTTTGAGACTGTTTGTAACTTGCGTTTTCATTAACCTTTTAATTTATTCCACCTCACAAGACAAACAGTATGTCTGGTTACTAGTTTCCGTTTGGCAGCACCACAGCTGCTGCTGGCAGAGATAACCACAATGAAGAAAAAGGAAGAGAAAACTCAGTTCCGTCGGGTTTTCTGCACATTGACTAAGCAGAAGTTAACTTTGAAATCAAACCCAGCTTCAAAGTTATGTTAGGTTGCTGAGATCCTTGCCCCAGCTGAGTTTTGGGTATCTGCACTCACAGAAGTTGTGAGACCATTCAGCCCCTGTTCGTGTTCTCAATATTAGAACAAAGCCATGCACAGAAATTCTGGAGGCAGCGAAGAGGTGTGCCAGCAACCAGTCTAAAAGAGTTAAGGCAAAAGTTCCTCTTTCAGTAGTAGAAGGAAGAAGTCATAGTTACAAATGTTTCTAGAAGATGGGGTTTGGTGAGAACAGGCACACAGTTAAGTTTTCGGGAATTTTTGGGGGTATTCTTATTTATTTTCTGCATCACAGAGCAAAATTCTCTATACATGACTGCACTGAGATATAACATTTCCTTATTTTGGAATACTTCCTTATTTAAAATAGTGATATTTTACATGATGACAATTTAATTAGTTTTAAATAACCCAGTCCTTAGAGAAAATACTCCAAGATGAGGGGATACAGATGCTGTCTATTCAAAATGCCTAAAATGTAATTAAAACAGAAAAGTCATAAAATGTTGAATTTGTACAGCGATGGGATTTTAATCAGCAGTTGTGTGGCAAAATCCATGGTCAGCTGTAATAAATGCTCCTTCTACTTCAATTTATGAGAACACTTGCAGCTGTTAAAGAAACAGCCATCTTTGTGTGTTAAACAATACATAAAGTATTCTAGAATAGCTGGTGTGCAAAAACAGGTGACAGAGCTGCATGTTAATAGATTGACTCGCAGAAGCAAGTGTGAGGGACCTACTTTTTCATATTGATTGCCTCTTACAGTCACTGGATTGTGAAAGTGGAACTCATTTAATGGAATCCCTTGAGATGGAAACAGGAAAAATCATACCTGGCTTCAGTTTTTTGTCTACGTGGAAGCTGTATTCATATTATTTAGATAGATCATCTGAAACAATTTTCAACGATTTTTTAGCAAGTGCAATACATACCAAAATTTCTTAAGAGGACTGTACTATCCTGCTTTGGTTTAACTCATTACAGACATGAACCCACACCATATATTATTTAAATGCGTAAGTTGACACAATATATAGGATTTAGAATTGGAAAGAATATGAATAATGCAACAGAAATAGTTGTGCTTCAGTGTTGAATCAGTGTGTTTCATAGTTGGATGTTTTTAATGCAAAATTAAGATGAACACTAAACTTAAAACCAGAAGGACTTGGTGGGTAGCTAGATAACTGAGCAAACCATCATGCCCATTTGTCCTGCTCTCAGCAGCGAGTTTAGTGAAGATCTCGCTGGAAGTTAGGGAAAGCAGCTGTGAACTGAGCTGCAGAAGGTGCAGCTTTTGAGTGCTTTTGATGGTGTTTTTGAGTGATGGTTTTCTGATGAAGCAGATTCAGGGAATCCACATAGTGAAGCTGCTCTTCTGTGGCTCTCTCAAATTGTAATTTGAACACAGCCTGACAAAAAGGTACAGATACTATGTAAAATACAGAGTTTTGGTGGAAGAAAGGAGCCCAAGACATCCAGAGACTTTGCTGAAACTAAGAGAAATGTACAAGAATGGAGAAAGGCCTCCTGCTGAGTCTTGAGTCAAACACAAAAACCAGATAGATGAAAAAGTGGGCTTTACTAGTTCTCTAGTTCTGGTGTTCAAAGAGTGACCTTTTTTTTAATCAGAAGTACACATATTGTGAAATGTTACTCTAAAGGGAATATAATGCAGCCTTGATACTCCTTTTAAGAACGCTGAAATCAGGATGTGCCAATTTAGCAAAGTAAGCTTTCAAAATGGGCATGACGCTTTTTATTTTCAGCTGAGCACTTCAAAAGCCATCAAAATTGATGTTACCTTCTGTTCTGGGAACTGTCAGGAAGCTATAAATAAGCATAAAATAATACAGGAGCAGGAAAAAGTGTTGTGCCAGCAGTTAATGTTGTTTCTAATTTTGTTGTTGTTTTTTTTTTTTCTTTTTTACAGTGTGTCCTATTCAGTGCATGTCTCTGAGGATTACCCAGGTACAGTGCAACATTCTTGCCCATGACACATGTACACATGTTACCACGATTTGCTGTATTTAAATGAGAACGGGTGTTGATGTCTTCCAGGTGCATCTTGTACTAATCATCTTCCATCAGTTAAGATTATTTTCACAGTCACATCTCCTTTTCAGGCATCATTTATCAGCTGGGTCAGGGTGAGAACACAGGTTCACGAGTTTAGGCAGACTGTCGCTTGGGGTGCTGCAGCCAACACAGACAGGGGTGAGAAAGTGCCCAGCTTCTCTTTGGCATGGTAGATAAAGCTGGAACTTTCAGGAGCCTGAGCAGGCTGGCACAGGGCCAGCAGAGCACTTGTGTTTGCGACCCTGATGAGGCTGCTCGTGTTGTCCACGTTAAGCCTGCAGACTGTGCGCTGGTGCCGCTCGGGGTCAGTCGGAGCCAAGTGCTCGTGTGCTAGGGCTGGCTCGCACAGGTGTTCCCAGCACAGCCTCCCCTGAGTCCTCTGAGCTGGGCTGGCAAAGGTATTTATTTGTGTAACCACGTGGCCAGCCTTGACAAGGAGTGTTATTCCTAGGAAACAGAAGCAGGTAAGAACAAAAGCAAGTTTTCAGGGAGGCAATTTCCCCAATTTCCTTCACAAAGGCACTGCACAGATACTTCAGGCAGCACAGGCTATCAGAAGCAGAAGGAGGGAAGCAGGGATGACAGGTGCTGTGCAAATAAAGGTTTATGGAAGTACTGTTGTACTGCGCCACATTGTGCACCAGTGATTATTTAACAGTGTAAGTACCATGAATGATATGAAATCCTCTGTCCTTTTTTGACCTTTATCTGTAGTTTTTCTGAAATGTTTCTCAAAGAAATATATTTTCTTTTAGAAGCTCTTAAGAATTATGACTTTGATCTTCTTCACTGATAAGCAGCAGATTCTGATCAAAACACCAGTGTTTGAAGCAGATACAGAAAAAATCAACAGTGGTGCTAAAAACAATGGATTCTGTGAAAGAATACTAACAATCTTTATTAGATTTATTTTTCTAACCAGTGAAAACAGTGGAGGAGAATGATACTAGTCTGTTCAACATTTAGAAATGAGAGAAACTGAGATTCATACAATGCACAGTCACACCAGTGATAAATGGATTTACTGAATACTGCATTGAGCTGACAATGAATGGAGGGACAAATAGTTGAAAAAAATCTTCACCATGTGTTATTAACAGTTTCTTCCATTAAATATCACAAAATTTGACCTCTGGGAACCTCTAAGTAAATGGTAAGCTGAAGCACTGAACCAGCAGCAGTTACTTGGACAGCACATGAGAGCTCATTTCCTGGCAAACTCTTCTGTCTGGTAGACCTCAGAATTTCCTTGTGGGTGTTATTTGCAGCATGTCTTGATAGCCTACAAGCCTGAGTGACTTTGGTGTCCCTAAAACCTGATGAATATTCTGTGCCATCATGTCCTATATTTTACAGGCAGATAGCATTTGAACATTTCACACTGTAGTTTGGAGTGGAGAGTAAAGCAGTACATGTTTACTGATTAAAATCCAGCCCTTCGGGGCTTTAGATGAGATGATTTCATTCACATCTCCAGCTTTTGCAGAATATATGTGTGTTTTATGATGAAGAGATGTTCAGTGTGTTGGGAACGATAAGGACTTTTTGCCATTTTACAGCTTTGATCATAAAACACTCATTTTGACTCGATGAGTCTGATTCTTTGTCGCCTGTTTGTGTCCCAGATTTCTAACCTAACGTTATTACTGACTCTGTCTGCCTTCTCTGACATGTATCTTAAGAAAGGTTCTAGTGTCAGGCTGTGATGGTATCAAGTCTGGGAAGCTCTGTGCTGATGTTCTCAGCTGGAAGGTGTTTTTCAAGTAGTGCTGTAAGTTGATAGAGTTCAGAGCAGCATGTGCACTCAAATTTCTCACAGGATAAACCTTTACAGATTAAGGTTTAAGTCCATTAGTGCATAGCTACAGAAAGGTTGTACCCTCTGTAGATTAAGACGGTATAATACAGAGTGGATCAGATTTGTAAGTCCAAGACAAGGCTGTCAGAGTTGATCATCAGATAAATTGCTAATGTGTGCAATAAATATATGAAAATAGAATAGAGTAGGATGTAACTCAGCTAAAAGGATACCCCAAAAGTAAATTTTGGATACTGAAAGAAGAGCCTTGGGTAGTATACATACTCCCACAGCCTGCTTTGCTGTAATGTATGCTGCGTCACCACTTTGGTACTGACAACAGTGTGTAGCTGTTGCTGAAGCTTTACTTCTTGAAGCATCAAATACAAGCAGCTGGGTTTTAAATTGTACCTATGGAAACGGTAATGTGACATGACAACTTTCAATAATGGAAGGTGTTTGAAAGTTTCATGTTTAAAAGTGAAAGCTAAAAATGTGCTCACAAAGACACATTGAGGACTTAACAGGAATAGTGTTGAGACAGCAATGTCTGAACAATATATATCCATTGCTGCAGTTGTGAAAACATAACTGGAAAGTTTAGAAGCAGGTATAACAGTTTCAGCAAAGTATTGCTGCAACAATATTTTCCTAACATTGACACCAGTGGGGAGAATAATCCTTCTTAGGAGCAGTTACAGTCTATAACATCAATGAGAAGACTGAAGTCCCACTAATATGAGCATATCATGACTCCTGTGGGAGCCAGCAGAGTAGCAAGCATTTTGCTAATGAATATATGTTCAGAATGATTTGTGCTGGCTGACACAAACTTGTAGAACTGCTATAGTCTTTTATCCCAGTGATTTGTAGGTAACACATCTTTCTTAGACTTCAACAGATTGCAGCAGAGATGGAGAGAATCAGTTTGGCAGCTAGTTTGCTGCATCCCTCTGCTAGGTCCAGGCACTATGTATGTCCTCCAGTGAAGAGGACAGGTATTCCTAGGTGTCAAGTGTTAGAAAAGGGTTGTTGAAGAAAACAAATCAAAGCCATTATCTTAATTTCAAATCTCATCATATCTCAATGGAAGAAAAAAAAAAAAAAAGAACCCTAATAGCTGCCAAATACCCAAGGAAAAAAAAACAGCTTGGCAGTGAAAGTCATATTATCCAGCTGCCAAGAAAGAATGGCAATAGACATAAAAATATAATTAAAAACTATGAAACCTCTAGCTGAGCAGTCCTTTTTCCATATATGTATGTCTATTCTGTACAGAACATACATTCTGTTCCTAGTTTTCTGTACAGCAATAAGCTGTAGCACAAAGATTTCCTCTCTGCCTTCCATGCACGTGGCGTTAGATATATTTAGAGCCAAATGATGGCCTCAATTATCTCAGCTCATTAGACTCTGTAGCAGTAACTTACACTCCCAAAACTGGGAAACAGATGTGCTTGTGTTTTATGTGCAAGGTGGACATGGAAATGATGGTGGCAACAAGGTGGAGAGTGTAAACAGAGGCAAGGCAGGGCTTCTTGCAGAGGGCAAGGTGCAGCTGTCCTGTGGCTATAGCTCACACCCATCCTGCCAGCAGACAAAAGTGGGAGGAGGAATGAGTGCTGACAGAAGAGACCCCGCTTAGTTCACACAACGCCGTGGCTGTAAAACACGTCCCTGTGCCCAGTGTGTGGCTGAGCAGCCACAGACTGATGTTTGGCTGTGCCCACAGGAGTGCAGGGCTTGTGCTCAGTGGTGCTGGGCTCCTGCAGCATCGCCTGCACACAGCATGTGTGTGTGGAGCCAGCCACAGATCCCTCAGATTGCCTCGAAGGACAGCACAGGAGTGGGAGTAGGCGAAGGTGTGGCACAGAGCCAGGCCTGGCAGGTGGGTGTGAATGTGGCAGAAAGGCTGTTTCACAGGTGGCAGCCAAGAAAACCCATCAGTGTGAGCAGTGCAGCTGCTGCCCTGCCAGGTCTGGCACACAGTGCCAGCCACAGCCCATGCTCCCTCTCAGTCAAGGGGACTAATAACTGAGATGATGTTGCTGAACTTGCCTCCCAATAATTGTTAACACCTGTAACATTTCACTGGGAGCACTCAAAAGCTTTGAGGCTGCAGCAGTATGCTTAAAATTGCATGTGGTTTCATGTATGTTGTTGATACTAAAAACTGTAATACATAAGTCCTTTCTTCATTCTCTTATATGTCACTTTATCTGTGATTATCTTAATTATCAGCCTTTCTGCACTACAGCATAGGTTTCAATTCAGCCCAGATCATTAGAAAACAAAGTGTCATTACTTGCATAAGCAGTTCAGCAATACATGCAGAATTAGCTCCTGCAGATAGTACAAAAAACCCTGCTGTTTCTTGGTTTTTGTTAGTAAACATTTAATCAGAAAGCAAAAGAAGAAACCAAACCAAAAAACTCCCAACAGACACACTCCTCAGTCTAATCTCTACAATTTTTTAAGAAAATTTGGTTAAATAGAGTTATAACATTCATAGGTACCAATGTTTTTGTTAAGTGGGAAGGATTTCTTTTCAGGTAGAAGAAAGGTTATCCACTGATTAGAAGACACTTCAAATAACCTTTATGTGACTAGGCAAAATGAGGCACAGGTATTTTGCATAATTGGCTGTTAACACCCAGCTCTCAGTGCAGCTTTCACTCTGCATATCAGATCTAGCTTGAGTTTTGGTGTCAGACATAGCAAAAAACATGTAACAAGTATTAATTTTGGAAAAGGTTGGCCACTCTAAGCCTTGCAGGCTGGTTCAGAGCAGTGCTTGGTGTGATTCACAAAAGCCATCACATCAAACTCCATGGTTTTGCTTTATAAGGTTTAGGTCTGAATCTCCCATACTTATAATATTTTTCTTTTTTATTAAAAATTTCAAGGGAAAAAAGGAACACATCAGGAAGGTGGTGATAGTGTTCAGCTTCCCTAAGCATCTGGGGAGTGGTTCCTTGTGGTACAGGTCTGGGACAGGAAAATTGGAAGGGGTTGACAAAGCACAATGGAACTTCACCATGCAAAGTGTTTTTCTTTCGTAGATAACACTTACGTTTCCAGTTCTGATAACGATGAAGATGTATTAGTCACAACAGAGCCAATTCCAGTAATTTTCCACCAAATTGCTACAGGTAATCCTACGTCTGCAGAGTTTTACCAAATTCATAATTTTGGAAGAAAGATAAGATGTTGTCTGCGCTTAGAGGGAGATGTGATTTTGAAGTGTTCAGCTATATAGTTTGCTGTTTTCTCTGGTCTTGTTGGTCTCTGATCTAGCAAATTGTCCTACACTTCAGAATAGAAGAAATTAGAGTATTTCTTTTGGGGGTCACCACAGTTGTGTGCAGAATTTTATCTTTTGCTTTTAATGTCTTGTAGCCTGTGCTAGAGCAATTCCCCTTGAATACACCTAGAGGTGCATAATACTTTCCAATTATGAGTTTTCATGATCACTTACTTAAAATTTCACTAAATCTTCACCGTTGCAGATGAAACAGTCTATAACTACCACCACTGCCTCTGGTGAAATATTTCAGGAAATTTGAAACAAAATGGTTCAGCTGTTTCACTAAATTAGACTACAGAAAAACAATTTATTTTTTCCCATTGATTTTGGAGCCCACTCATTATAAATTATTTCCTTATTTTCAACAAGTACTTGATACATGAAAGGGTATGCTTGTCAGACATACAGGCACATTTATACTGTATTTAATAAGACTTTGTGCACACTCCATTGAGACATTTTAGATTCTGGCAGACAAAGTCTGTGATTTTTTCAGGCTGCAGAAGAAACTGTGCAGAGCACTCTTAATTCTGGCAGCTCTTCAGATAGGAACACTTGACTTTGTAATTTTTTATTATTATTATAATTCTTTACGGCTTTTTTTTGCATAACACAGAATGATTTTTAATTCCACTGGGGAACCAGTATGATCTTTAGTCTCTGTCTCATTTATACAGAAGTAAATCAAGAGTAATGTTACTGAAGTTATTGCAAAGGCACACAAACAAAATCTTGCTATTATCGTCACAAGTTTGTGATAAATTTTACTTGCAAAAAATTTCTTTACTTTGAAAAAAAATTAAGCCTGTAATTTACAATAGAGCAAAAACCTACCTTTTATATAGAAGACTTTATTTTTCTGAGGGGTTTGATTTTTTTATTCTTTTATAAATTATATGAAATAAATGAATGACACTAAATTGTAAATCACAAATTGGGAAAAGCAAATGTCCCAGATGGATCAGCTGAGTTTCAATTTACACTTAAAAGAAGTGTTCTGGGAACTAAAGGCTTCCTCATTTTAGACTGTTGCATTGTAAACTCTTTGATGATTTTCATATCTGTAACTTTTTGTTCCTTATTTGCTCTACTGCTGCAGCTAAGAGTTCCAAGTCTGCACATGCAAAACTATTTCATTTTTTTTTTCCACACATATGTTCCTTGTTTTCCTTTTTTTTTTCTTCAAGAATTAAGAAAAACCAGTGATGTCAACTATTGCTTATCCATAAAGTCAAAATTACAGAGGGAGAATGGAGAGGTATGTATTTCTTGTATGCATATTTTAACAGAAATTATTTTAAAAAGAAAAGAAAACAATAGAATATGAATGTTTACCATAGACTTCCTATCAAAGTGTCCTTATTCAATCTGTGCATGTTTACAAAATGTGCATGTTTTAAAAGGTGACCATATTTCTTTGGGTTTCATAAATGGCTTAACCAGTGATTCACTTGGTTGGGATAGAGATTCTCCTGCTGTCCTAGGAAATATGTTTTTGATGTTTCAGGTTTTTTTGTTCAACAGTGGTATAGACCCTGTTGGCCATAAATACACAGCTCTCCTGGAAAAGAAGATAGTGATTCCATTACCTTTTAACCTACTTTGGCACATAAGACCTCATCTTAATTACTTCCAACTCAGTGCTTCTTCATATAGCCTGCAGCAATCCCACTGCAGACTCTAGGAATCTGCAGGACCCTTCTCACCATATGCAGGGTGTTGAAAACTAGGGTCTTACAGGCACAGTGGTATTTGTTTGCCCTGTGCCTCTGGCACAGGTCTCTGACCAGTCTCACTGAGACGTTCAGAAGTGGCACTAAGGTGAAATCTGCTTGGGGCTTTACAGTGCCATGGCCTCAAAGAGGTACCATGTAGGCTCCTGCCTCAAGGAGAGACTGAGTGTTGTCAGGACTTCAGGTGCTTGACCTAAAGTCTTCCTTTGGTGAGGGTAGGTGCTGAGTTTCTTATCCTGGAAAGGGCAGGTAAGCATGCCTAGATGCTATGTGTATAGATTTTTTTAGTAAATGAAACGTCATTTGGTGTGAAAACCTCCACTGAAAACAGTTTGCTTCTACAGCCTCATCATTATGTTCAGTGCTCTGTAAACATAAGAAAAACAAGTGTGGGAAGAATTTACCCATTTCCTTAAAAGCCAGAAATACAGTTAGCTTCTGTGGGACTGAGTTTGAGCTTGTGTTTTGTTCCGAGTTGAGTCAGCTACTTAAATGTGAAAGTACTGAAAAAACACCCTTTTTATAAAGTCTCTTAACACTGATGATTTCTCTTGGCTAGACAGTTCAAGGCTTGGTTAGGATATGATGGGTTTGTCATTATTCTAACATGAGAGTTCTGTGTGGAATTTTTGTTGAGTTGATTTCTGTTTTGAAACAGACTTTCCTCTGAAGTAATTTTATTATAAGACTAAAGGTATTATTTTCAATGAAGTAGAAGCAGAAATTATTTCTATGCTTTGCCAGAAGTTGCCATGAGATAGGATAAATACACTTTTGCACTGTATGTATACATACAGTGAGTAGAGCAGGAATTTAGAGGCATGGGTAGAAAAATGGAATTACAATGTCTGACCATAGAAACTGGGGATAAATGTATATACATACTGACATTTATGGCTGTGGAATTTAGGGGAAACTGCTACTGTTTTGATTCTTATATCTGATTTCTATTCCATTATTACATGTCTATGTAGGACGCAAATAAGAAAAAAGGGGTTAATGCATTATGTTGAGGTTGAAGTGAAGAATGATTTTACCAGGTGTTCTTTAGGGGCTACTACTCAGCACAGAGCACAGAAATAACACATGCATTGTGGGAAACAGGAATTACTCTCTCAAGGAATTATATAATTATAAGTAAAGGTTCCAGTAGAGAGAAATGGAATATAATATTTCATCTCATGCTGAGTTTCAGTCAGTGCCGGATTAGTTCAGTTTACTTGATGATATTATTCACGAGGCAGCCTATTTGAAACAAGTTTTACTTAGGTAAGCATAGGATTTTCTAATTCTTATTTTTTACTGTCTCAGTGCAGAGCTACTCAGAAAATTAAGTTTGAAACTTTCCGGGCACCAGGATGGAACCTTCTGTTTAAAAATAATCATTAAGCCGTAGAATGTCAGGTTTTCACAGAAGTAAACATTAGATATTCCATGTTGGACTTAGATTATTTCCTGAAACTATTGGGGTTTAATTATGAGAATAAAGTAAAACAAAACTAGTAAGTAGGTTGCTGACACACCAAAAGATCTATGTCCATAACCAGTCTTGATGTGAAAGTTATGCTTTGTTTAGCAAAAGCACAGAGTGAAGTATCCCCATAAAGTCTGCTGAATTATCCAGTTCTTTAAAATACCATGCTGTGTTTGCTACCACACAAGTATTATTTCTCCAATATATATTCAAGGTGTTTTTATGTACCCTGTATTAGGTGCTTTTTTCATGTGATATTTCATCATTCTTAAAATGGGTCCTCTGGAAAAATTATACTAAATTATATTAAAAGATCTCTTCAGGAAGGATGCTATTTGTAAAAGCATAATTCCTGTAGTTACATTTAGAACTGTACATGCAAGGTCAACATATTACTTTTATCATTAACTTTCCTTTTCCATTAAGGAGTCACGGCACAGCAGCACAGTTGAAGAAGACTCTGAAGGAGATAATGACTCTGAGGAATTTTATTATGGAGGACAGGTAATGCAGGAAATTTTTTGCACAAGTTCCAGGAAATTAATATTTGAAAGTTCTTATGTTCAATCCATTACAAATTGATAATAATCTTTAATTTCTTATGTTTTTTTCATAGGGTTGAGTAGAGTGACGTGTATATATATACATAGCATTTTATGACATAAATATTGAATGTGTTCAAAGTTATAATTATAAAATATTCAAAATAAGATTACTTTGCTTCCTTTTGCAATGCTTTAAGAATGGAACAAGCAAATACCCTTCAGAAAGCTTGAAAATAGAAGGTAGTTGCTTACTTCCAGGAAACAGATAACTGACTCTGTAAAGCTTACCCCATTATTAATACAAAGGGGAAGACAGGATCCAAACCTCTTTCCTTACAGAGAATTGCCATTTTTAAGAGTAAAGAGCACTGCATTTTTATGCAACTTTTGTATTACAAAAAAAGTCTGGTCTAGGCAATACTCCATTCTTTTTCTGAGCTCTGGAGTAAAATTCACCTTGAAAAATGCTGCATATTTCAGATGATTGTAGTGCTCTGTGCCTTTCCTTCTTGTTCCCTCAGCAGCATTAATTCTTACATTCTCTTGTATATTGGGAAATAAAATCTTTTCACGCCTTTTTCTTTTGCAGTGCGCTTCATGCTGCTAGTCTCTTTATTCAGATTTCTCTTGTATTTCAGCCTCAATGTTTCCCCAAGGAGTCATTCCTTGCTTATATTATTAGAACTGTTTATTTCGATGAACATTTTGGCGAGCTATGGTTGCTGTTTGTGAAGGTTGTCCCTTGCCTCAGCCTTGAGGCTGAAGCCGTCGGTGCCCTGGGTGCAGAGCCAAGGCTGCAGGAGCACGGCAGCAGTGCCAGCAGGGTGGGTCAGTGCAGAGAGCGTGGGATGCTGATGAGCAGGACATGGCTGAGCCTCTTCCCCTGCAGAGCCAACAGTGCGCTGGGGTTAGCACACAAAATTCATGTTGGGATGCTTTACAGTAAAAAAAAAAAACAACATAAAAAAAACCAAAACTAGCAAAACCCCACAAACAAACAAACAAACAAACAACCCCGTGGCCCTGAAAAGCTGTTAAAAGTTATTTTGAAACTGGAACTGAAATAATGTATTGTCATTGTCTGAAATAGCTCACGTGGGGAATTGACTCATGTTCGCTGTAGAAATGACTGCAGGAATTGCCTCCCTTCAGCTGCTGACTCCTACAGCCCCATGCTGGGGAGTGCTGTGGAGGACCATATACATAACTCACTGCAAAGAGCAATGTTTTATTTTAATCTGCCTGAGAGGAAAAAGCTTCTGATCTTGTCCTGTGGTGATGAGTCGTGTGTACTCGCTTCATTTTTCAACTCTGAAGAAAGGGCAGTAACCTCAAGGTGAAGGAACAGGCAGAAAACAGCTGGGAGTGCTTATTTTTTGAACCAGGGCTAATACATTTGGTATAGGATGCCTGGCTGTGCCCAAATGAATTAATAAATATTAACACTGCCTGTGAGGTATGAACACTGATAGCAGTACATCGTTTTGCAAGGCGTAAAAGAGCTGTGTAATAAGACAAGACCGGTTAGAATTTAAGTGCCTTATATCAAAATGGAAACTAGATTATATTGCATTGTCTTCTCTATGAGATAATACATTTAACTGAAAGAATAGTAACTGGCAAAAAAAAAAAAAAAAAAAATCAGGTCTGCAATAAAAATAAAATACCAGTTGATTATTAGTGTCTTGAACATAGAATATCCATAAAGAAAATATGGTGAAAATGAAAGAAAAAAGAAGACATCACAGAAAGTGTATTTAAAAAGAGGAAAAGAGAACATGTCTAATTTAAAATTTCATGGTCAAAAAGACTAAAGTCTAACTAAGTCATTTAAAGTTAAAAGATAATACTGAGGACTCAAAAAATAAATAGAAAATCAGGTAATGAGAATAGTCCCTTGAAAGACAAAAAAGAACAATCCTTTTTCAAAGCAGAGTGTTTGTAGGAGTTGTCAAATGGGCACCAGGTGTATTGGGGAGACAAAAGATTTGACCATATATGTGGAAAACAAGCAAGGCAGGCTCCTTCATTTGAGAGAAGTGTCTGCTGTGCCCACAGAGAGAGGGGGCAGAAACACTGACTATAACAAAAAGAGGGAGGAGAGGCCAGTGTAATTGTGTGCAGTACAGCTGGCAAGGATGGAGGTCAGGGATAATTCTTAGCATTTCTAAGTGGCTACAGCTGGAAAGGCAAGAGAGCTGCTGCTGATGAAGCAAGGGCCATGGAAGATGAGAAATGGAATTTGATGGGCAGTGTAAAGAAGATGCAACCTTTTGCTCATAAATGAAATGTTTGTATCCACTTCCAAGGCACCTGCTTGTAATCCTCCCAAAGGATTTAATGGATAAGTACTTAAAAGTAGCTAAGTGGTTCAACAGTGTAAAACCTATTGATTTTCAATGGGATTTAGGCTTGTAAATCGCTTAATCTCCTTTTAAAAAGCGACCTTTTGTCAAATAATCTGAATAAGGTCTCAGATTAAAAATGGAGACTTTCTAAACATAGACCTTTCAGTTGCAGCAAAGTTACCAGATTTTTTTCTTTTATATTCATTTTTTTCTGCAACTCTGTTAATTCTTGCTTTGAATCTCTATCTTCTGCATTTGCAAATAAGAGCAGGAGATGAAAACAGAAATTTTCTGCCTTTGGCTCTCTGCATGTCTCTTGTGCTTCAGCTGCAAAACATACTTGAAAATGCAGAAATACAAACCTCTGACGGCCTCCTCTGCGTACATCATTATGTCTATGGCACTAATTTGGGGGTGGGAAGTACCATACTGTGGTCTTAAAATTTGCCAGAGCACTGCTTTATTTCCTTTTTGAGTTCATAGCCTCTTACCATGAGAAAATAGATTAGAAAAAACATTCTGCTGAGCCAGGGTAGTGTTCTGCATAATGTTCCTTTTGTATTTTACTATTATTGAAAGAGAAGACTGATTTAACAATCTGGTTTAAGACCAACAAAGGTGGCAAGTGCACCACAGCTATGATTTGTGAAATGATTGCTGTGCTTTCTTTGGAAGCAGGACAGCAATTATTTACGCATCTTTAAAGAATTCTTCTTTGAGTAATGAGCATGTAAAAAGGATTGTTTTCCCCCTACCTAAAGTGAAAAAAATGACAATAACTATTTCTTTCCAGTGCTCTTCTACTTGGAAAATTGTTCTGACATGCCTGCCCAAACAAAGGAAGGATACTTTATTTATAACCTTCTGGTCATGAATATCCCTTGTATCTCTGAAAAATACATGTCCATGCCACGCTGATGAATTCTGTGCCTTAAACTTAAAGCATTCTAGGTCTAAGTCTAATCAAATTACTTTCTGCTAATTTTTCAAATATAAAAAGGTGATCATCTGATTATTAGTTGAATACTACTGAAATGTAATTAAATTAGCACATCTCTAAGCATCAGAGCTGAAAATGTCATAGCACTGGTTTCCTACAGATTTGGCTGTAAAAATGGAAGTTTTACAAATGTACAAATGCAGTTGGATGTGGCTCTGAAGTAACAAGAATCCTCTGCAGAATTCCTGTATAAGGTTATATAGATGTGTGGGTCTAAAGGCATAAATTACATTCTGCTGCTTTGTTCTCTGAGTATGTCAAATCCTATGCTCATTTCTGAATCTGTTCAAGTCTGGGGAGTTCATTGACATCTGTGGAATTACTGTCATTCTAGTTGTTGTAAAGACATAGATTTAGGTTCACACAATCAGGATAATTTTGCTTGAGAAAAAGGTAATATTAGACAGATGATGAATATATTTTTACATGCCCAGAGAGGTACTTTGGACCTCATAGAGGATAGGAGGGTATTAATTATTTTGACTAAGTAGAGTCCAATGAGACCAGCTCACAAGTTTTGCTTTTTAGTGTAAGCACAAACATAACTTTTTCCATTTTTCTTGTAGAGTTTGAAAAAAAAAACCAGGAGGGTTGGTGTCTAGATGTATACTTCTTTATTACCTTCTCTGGCGTAATACTTAACATGAGAAAGTGTTCTTTTAATTTTTTTATTTTTTTTTTGGTCTCATATTATTGCACTGGTAGGCAGAATGCAGGCAGTGAGTAAGCTAAAAATGTAATTTTGATGCTGAGGTGCTGGGTATAGAGAATAGTTTCATGCTTCTCTTGTGCCCAAGCCACCAAGCCATTCTGTGTCTAGTATATGAGAGTGTGACAACAAATGAGAGCACGTCAACCTTTGTGCTGTAGTGGTTGGACTTGGATGACAGGACTGGGGACATCTGGTTCTTATCCTACTTAACATTTTTAAAATACACTAGTGTCCCAGAACAAACCTTGGGACAAAATAGGACAGATAAATGAGTCCTTTGCAGCTTCTCTTCTCAAAAAAACAAAGAGAACCCTCAAAACACTTCAAGGCAGAGGTGCCTGCTTTGAAAATCTTGCTACTTTAGCAAACGAGGTGGCCTCAGGGCTTCAACTTGTCCCTTCTGAGTGTGGCATTGAGAAATCTTAATGCAATGTATTTTGCAGAGAGAACTTTCAAGAGTCTAAATCAGGTGCCAGAAATGAAATACAGAACTCTCAAGATACTTTTCTGTCCCCAACAGGTTAGCTATGATGGAGAACTTCACAAGCACCCACAGCTGGAGGCTGATTTAACAGCAGTGAGAGAGATCTATGGACCTAATGCAGTATCTCTCAGGTATGGCACTGGCCTTTCTGTATTGTGGTGCCTTTAATGTTTTGGACTTTGAATTCTGTATGGACCTTCCCTGACTGCCAAAGCACAAGTCTTTTCTGGTGATTCCTGCATGTTGTGTGACAAAAGGAGGGAGCACTGCAAACCAGTATCAGTGCTGGGTTTTGGGGGGTTCTTTTGTGGAACAGCATGCTTACAAGTAGCTGTGCTGAGAACAGCCCTGTTGCAAAACATCATTGTCTTTTGCAGTTCTAGTGAGGCAGTTGTGTTTTGTTGTAAATTGCTATTCAACATTTCTTTAAACCCTTGTTAAAGTCTTTTCCTGTCATATTCTGTATTTTGCCCTGGAGGTGAACAAGAGGAATGGTAAGAGGTTTAATAAATACTTTCCCTAGGGAACAGCTGAAGGATTTGGATTTGTCTAGTCTAGGAGAAAAAGAGAGGAAGAAGACACAATAACAATTTCTTGTCTTCAAAAAAGCTGTTTGTAGGTAGAATGAGTGATCAAATATTCTGTACAGTCATTATAAGGGAGACAGTAAGGAGCTAGGGTTTGCTCAGAGATTAGGAGAGTTTTCTAATTGTGAGACTCTAAAGTTTCCTACACAGGGAAGTAGTGGAACCTTGGTCAGATGTGAATTGATAAGAGTAATTTTACACAAATTCTGTTGGGCATGTATGAATGTGCATGATTCTGCCATAGTGCATATGTGTGTGTATATATATATATATATATATATATGCATATATATAGTATATCTATTTTAATATGCCTCAGGTACTTTATAACTTCATTTTCCATCAATGTAATCTTAATAATTCCATAAAAATAACAGGTAGGTAAGATGTAACAGACCTGTCAGATGCATTGCAAGGAAAATACCAAAGTAGTCCTACAAATCAAGGAAGAGAGAGAGCATACCTACACCTATGGTGTACTACACCTTTTCAAATCAGATGGAAATTTATTACACTTTAAGAACCTGGGGAATTGAAATCTGAATAGCTGTATATAGGTTTAGGAAATGAATAAATATTTATTTGCTAAACTGATAACTATGAAATTCCTTCAAGCTCCTAAAATGGAAACATTATATGTAACCTTTCGAAATCTATTGAATTAGCAGTTTCACTGGAAACACTGTGATCCCCTTGAATTCAGTATAGTAGAAACTGGCACCTGTGGCTGCTTTTGGCATGTGCAAAACTTCAATGCTTTATCCACTTTATTTCAGCTGAAAATATTTACAGATTCTTGGAAATACACCCCACAAGCATTAAGCATTCATTTTCATCCTTCTTGTGCAGCTCCACTTCTCTAAGAGAGAAGTTTGTCTGACAAGGGTATCCACTGAGAGGCATATTTTGTAGACAATTTTCCCTTCTTTCAGTAATCTCTTGCTGTCACAGAATCAGTTTTACAGTAAAAGTACATGTTTCTGTACATTCATTCTTTTCACCACTGCCCTTAGAAAACTTGCCACAAAAGCCCTGAGAAGTTGATCCATCCAGCTGGTCCAAACTCTTCCATATCTCTTTACATTGCTTATTCATTTATGGGCAGAGGACCTCTGGGAGCTTCAAAATCAAGATGTGTTTATGAAGCAATTGTAGACAGCAGATCATAAGACGTAGGGGTTGGAATAAAACATGATTTCCTCCTCATGTCAGCTTGGGAAATTAAAACTTAGAGTTAGGATCATGTGCCTAAAATCTATCTTCTAGGATAGTAGTGGGGTGGGGGGGCAAAGAGATTTCAGTGAGTGTGGAAATGTCATAGTTAAAACTAACTTTTATTTTATTCATTTTTCACTAATATTTCTATTCCATTAATTCATCCATTCCTGTTTCATTTATAAAATTGTTCTTGTTTACAGCATTTTGAATCTCAGTTATGTGAGTATCACCAGCCTGCATTCATAAAAATTATTTAAGATAGCGTAACAATGTTCGGATCTTCTGGAAAGTGAACAAAAAAGCCCGATGCCACTGTTGTGTAGGGTAGTGGCTAAGCCATTCAGCAGGTGGAGAGCTTCCCTGTTTCAAAGCCAGGTTTTCAGTGAGCTGTAGGAGGTCATCGAGTGCCTGTAGGTCTGTAGGTGAGGTGACGCTGGAGCAGCGCTAAAGGTACCTGGGAAGTCTGCAATACAGCCCTGTCCTGCCATTCACCTGCTCTGTGTGTGCCATGTGGGGACAGACCTGATCTAGAGAAAGAACCTGGGTTTTCCTTGACCAGAGAGAACCACTGAGTTGCTGAGTTTTGGTAGAAGGGGCTCCCTTCACCAAACTTCACAAGAGCTCAAGCAATTTCCAGTGCAAACTCAGGCCTGCCACAGGTGAGAGGTCGCTTTGGTAGGAAACAGTTACATTTCAGTATTTCAAAACTGCTTTATTGAATGATTTAAAGTTTAACAGAAAAGCATGGAAGTTGTAACTTTTCTCTAAAAAGTTCTTTTTCTGTTTCTCTGTTTCTGCTGTATCTCTTCTGTATTTTTCTTTATATTCTTTGATTTCTCAGCCTCCTTTGGACTGAATTCTTTTGGGATCCTCCCTCGTGGGGAGCCCTGCTTATCTCAGTTCTTATGATTCAAATAAAACTCCCGAGCTCATTAGAATCTTGTTTCTCGTGTTTATTAACAGGTGGTCACAAAACTTGACAGGTCTCTCCAGGCTGGTTACAAGGTTAATCTTTGCAATTTGGCACATTTCTTTATTCTGATGGTACAAACAAGGCCTTGTGGCTCACTTTGTGTCTGATGCACAAAATGGCCCCGAACTACGCAGTTCTTTTATCTTTATACCTATTTTTACCCAATTAACAATAGACATGTATATTATTTTTCTTAATGACCCAGTGACCCATCACCTCTGTGATGCACTGCGGCATTCTCTATCCAATCACTTACTATTACCCAAAAACCTCAGGGAGAAGAACATGAAGAAGAAAGAAGAAGGGACAAGGGACAACACCCTAAATCCTCCATCTTGTCTCCTGTTCTCTAAACTAATCTTTTCACCCAGTGATTTAAAAAAACTTTCTAATCTACACACTTACTCTTTTAGCTTTTTCTATCTAACTTTAACATCTGTTTCCATGTTTCACCATGAAAACATGCTCATGAATTTCATATTATATGAAATTCAATGTTTTTCTAGATCTTAGAGTTACGTATGAGAAACAAGGGCACACACTCTGTATTCCAGACTCCAACAAAAGTCACTGTGAGAACAAAAACAGAAACGCAGTTTTAAAGTTAAAAACATCCTAGTGACTGGAAGCTAATCTGTGAAAATTTGAGAAATAGTACTTTTATAGCATTGTCCACTTAAGTAGTGTAAAGGAAAAGGAAAACAGTTTTTTGTTTAGGTGTGTGAATAAGTATTTTCTAGCCCTGTTCTTTAGAAGTCTTCAAGTGTGTTGTGGGAAGGCAATCATTACATCAGAAAAAAAGAGGCAGAAAAGTCGCAGTTTAAATGTAAGATTTCAGATGTCAATGTTAAATCCTAATCTTGCAATACCACACGTAACAGATAAAACAGATAACTATTGCCTTGTGCACATTACAGGGCAGTCTTTATTTTTGACAAACAAATGCCTGAGTGTATGAAGCAATCCCCAGGTATAACTTGCCATCCTCTAGGCTGTGTTGTATTTGTCTTCTGTGGTTTATCTGAAGGCTGTTCTTAGGTTACTGGCTGTTATCCAGAAATACTCTAGAAAATTAACAAGGGTTTTCTTGTGTCATGAATGGGAGCAGCATGTGATTATTAATTTTTCTTTGTTCATCTGTGCAATACGTGAGACAGAAATACACAGCAGCAATGGAGAGATTTTTTTGGGAAGTAATGGAAAAGATTTAGCCTGTTTAAGCAAGATCCTCTGAAAAAACCTTTTAAGTGCAGCAGACGGTCACCCACTGGGAATATTGATCCAATCTATGTAAATATGTATTTTATAACTATTCTGATTTTACAGATAAGATAATCCTTTATAAAATCTTCCATGTTGTAAGTACTCCTTGACTGAGGAGTATCTTAAAGAGCTCTAATGTAATGTAATTATTTCCTTTCAGGGAATATGGAGCCATTGATGATGTAGATATTGATCTACATATTGATGTTAGCTTTCTTGATGTAAGTAATCTAATCACAGAATTACATAATGAACATTAATACCCATTTAATTTTTCTGTACATCATACTCTCTAGACAACCACTGATACTTTCCTTTTTTGGAGAGTTGATCTTCACAAGTGAGTGTCACATTATTGATTGATACACGATGGAAAGGTTTTCTTTCCTTTTGTGACCACATTGTTAAAATGCTATATTAGGCTTTTATTTGCTGCATATATATTTCCTTCCAAACATTTTTCGTGAGTGGTAAATGTTTTAATATATATATAAATTAAACATGGGGTTCTTTTTATGTTAAGTTAGACATGAGTCAGGTGAAATTACTTCTTACAGTCCTGAAGGGAAGAGGACTTTGCCAGGAGTGCTCCTGTACCCTGATTAGAGAGAGAGGCTTGACTGGCAAAAGGACAGTGGTGCTGCTTGTTGACTGGCAGCCTGCCTTCTCTTGCTGTTGTGCTGTCATTCATCTTCACACTTCCTCACCTCATCTGTGCAGCAACTTCCTGGCCTGCATATAATAAAATAATAAAGAACAAAAATGAGAACCTTTAAGTGCATCATTAGCTTCTGCACAGATAGGTCTTATTTTCAGGTCCACACAGCACATAAGATATTTATTGAGCCTTACTAAAATTTTAAGGAAGTCTGATCATAGCTTGGATTATTTAGATCAATTTTAAGGAGCAAAAGCTTCCTTAGCCCTTAATTATGAGGCTAATTTCTATTCTGGTTTTTTTGCTCCTTTGCTTCTCAGCTTTGAAGCAGCACCTGTTGGTGGATGGGGATGTGTCTGCCTGCAGTGTACATGCAGTGTTGTGTATAAACCTCTGCTTGATTTAAATAAGCTCACTCAAGAACTGGAAGCAGTCTGACGTTGCTCTTTGGGGGTCGTTGATGTGCCATAATTTGTCCTGATTCTAAAGTGTAATGTTGGAGTAGATACTAAACAGCTGGGTAAATGGATGGATGGTGTTTTTAGCAACCCAAAAGCAGAATGACAAAAAGCAGTTCCTCATGATGGCTAATGATGTCTATTGTTTTCTTTTTGTCTTAAACTAGGAGGAGATTGCTGTGGCTTGGGATGTAATTCGCACAGAGCCTATAATAGTGCGCCTGCACTGTTCTCTTACACAGTACCTAAATGGTCCAGGTTGGTCAATTGTGTATTCTTCTTGTGCCTTGTGTAGTGTGCAGTCTGAGCCATGGGATAGACACTTATTCACTACCAAGTCTTTGGCTCTGCACATGCTCAGTTCTACTGCTGAGACGAGTCCTATTGATTTGAAATTAGGCATACATATATTTGCATGGCTAGGCCCTTCCTAGTGACACAGGCATCTAATTTAAACTTTCATGGGTTCATTTTGGGAACTTGTTTTCCTGATATCCTTTGAGATGCAACTGCTTCCCCTAGGAACCAGGGTTAAGGAGTAACGACCTGGAGTTTCTAATATGTGATTTTGTAATTTTTGAAATCAAACCTCATCTGCACAGATGAGATATGACTGATCAGTCATATCTCATCATGAAGACATACACAGACCTGTGCAGCATATTAACATGCCCTCCTTCATGCAGCTTTAAAGAGTCAGGCCATGATAACTGCCCTTTCAGCTTCTGGTTTCTATATAAGTGTGTGTATGAATAAGTGTTATTCAGGAAATCTTTAGATCTGAAAGAATTTTTAAGTGATTAAAGTTTCCTCATGAGAGAAAAATGTTCAAGCTCATGAAGAATCAACTTATTTTGAAGATTTGGAAGCATTCATATGCAAGAGTCAACTTCAGATATATTTTTACAGTGTAAGTCAGATTCAGTTTGGATAATAACTTGCCCAGCCTTGGAGACTTGCAGTACAGGCTGTCAGTTCAGGCTTTTATCTGTGGGAGAATTCTGCCTCTGGAAAATAATAGATATTTCCAGTCCTGTTTATCAAAATCTGTCCCAATGAGCTATTTCTATAGGATGTTGCCTGACGATTCTAACTATGAGCTATATTCTGTTCATTCAAATAAGCATTTCATTATACCAATCTTTTTTCCCCTTGACTTTGGTCTTTTTGTCTGTGGTTTATTACTTCAATCATTTTTGTCTTAAAGTCTTAAAATACACATTTACAATAGCAGGAAGCAGAGTTAGTATTCAGAACATTTCTATCAAAATGTAATTTAAAAAATGAAGAAGTGCAGCAAATAAGAGAAGGTGAAGTGTGTAGAGCAGCATGCAGTGAGAAATGAGAAGTAACAAGAATATAAATTCTGCATTGCTGACAAGGTTAAGGTGGGAAACATAGTTCCCAGGGCTGCAGCTGACTGCTTGTGGGAGTGCCCAAGTTCTGAGAAAAGCAGGAGTAGGGCCACAGGCAAGAGCTTTGCTGACGCTGGTTTTCCTGAGCTCAGCTGCTGTTGCAGCCATGTCCCTTTACTTACTAGAAAAGCACAGTGAGATCCACCATCTTTTGTGTTAATTCTGTGATTTCCTCTTCTGTTTTCTTGACAATACTGGGCCAGAATTTTATGCTGTAGCTTTTTCTCCTATACTACATTCTGGTGGTTGAGAAACAGGAACACAGTTCATTCCAAAGCACAGTGGGGGATATGAGTACCATCCTGTAGCTGTTTAATATACTGATTTTAGATAGTTCTAGTAGTTAATAGCTTGTCTCAGTAGTGTCTGTGTGGGCAGTTTGTCCCTCATGCCTTAGAAGCCTGTCTTAGAGAGGATGAATCAGCCAGTGGAGGTATTGGCATGTCTCCTCTGAATGTAGAGTCTAGAAAAAAATTTGATCTAGATGTCAGATTTTAAAATTTCTCTTTGTAGGTACAATGATATTTAAAGTATTCCACATCCCACCAGCCCCCTGCAGTGTGTCTGAAATTTGACAATCCAAAGATATAGCTATACTTAATGAAATCATCCATCCCCTTTGAAAAAAAGCATTAGTTTGTATTTAAAAGATGAGTTTATGTTTGATGTTATTTGAATAACAACATTAGGGAAGAGGTGACTACTGACCTTTGAACTAAGTTAAATTGCATGGCCAAGGTAGATATATTGTATTTTATTATCAAATTTAATATATATTAAAGTAAAATTAAAGTGCTAACTTTGATATTCTGAATAAAATCTGGCTTTCTGAGTGGTCAGAATAACATCAAAATACTGATTTACCATTTCTAATAAAATGTGAACAAACCCCAGATTTTTTGTTTTCATTTATTTTTGATTTTACTTTAGTCATTATCACCTTATGCAATGCAAAGTATGCAGTCTGTTCATGCTTGTGATATGCTTTGGCTGTTGTCCTGCCTTGAGGACCTGCAGCTCTCTCAACAAGTACTGGGTTCCATCTGCCACTTCTATCTAGCAAATGACACTGAATGATTTTAGTAATGCCACTAGCTAATTTCCATCCTTTACCCTGTACATTTGCAATTTCCAACATGAATATGGACATAGCAGTGTTAGGACGGGTCTTGAGGAAATTTCAGGGTAGCCCTTGGCAACTGGAATTCATGTATCTGGCACTTAGATGATGATTTTGGATCTTGTATTCAATCACCCTCAGAAACAAAATCCAGGTACTAATGAATTCAGTTTCAGTCTCGGCTTTCTTCACAGCCACAGGAACTCTACTGTGTACAGACTACTTACTTGGGAAAATAGTTTAAAATACTGGGTGAGGTGAACTGACACTCCAGATGCATTTCATCTGATGCTGCTTGCTATTTGCATAGTACGTGTGTAAAAAAAGATACATTTTTGTAAATAAAATGGATGGGAAGAGATACATTTATGAGAATTCCATTTGTAAAACTGTAAATTCTATTGGCTGATATTCCAGAAAGGACCATTCCTTTCTTAATATGCTTAGATGGCACGTCAACTCTTGCCATTGCTTCAATTTAATTGTCTGTAGTCAAGCTCCTCATAGAAGAGGGTCCTTAAATAAGACTTACGTGGTCACAAGTTTGTCATTAGTGCTGTAACATCAAATATCAACAAAATTTCCTTTTTCCCTAGTGCCAACTGTGGATGTATTTCAGATCTCTACTAAGGAAAGATTTGGGCTGGGACATCAGCTGAAAAAGTAAGTCTAGAAAAGTACAAACCCCTATTTTTAGGCAAATACTACACTCTTTAGTTTCCAGACCATTTTAAGTAAAATAAAATTCATATTGTCAGATTGGATGTTGAATCAAAATATCCTGAAGTTGTTTTTCTTTAAATAAAAGTCAGTATTTGCCATTATAAGTTTGGGTTTAACAGCTATTGATGAGAACCTGATTTGTGTTACTTGCCAGGGTTTCCTTTTCTTTTCACTTTGGTGCCTTTAAGGAGGCCATAAACGTTATAAAGACCGTATCTAAGAATGTTCAATTTCATGTTTCTGCTTAGATGGTGAAACCTCTGAAATGGGAGTCTTTCTGAGCTCAAAAATCTCATGCATACCCTGAGGGAGTTGTGCTTTCATGGTTGTCTCTAGGATATACCACAGTAATTAGGCCATCCACTTTTTGAGGACAAGATGGAAGAATAGTCAAAAAAATTAGCAGCATGTGGTCATAGTACAACTCATATTAATACAATTTTGTTGAGTCATCTCTTTGCATATGCTTTTGTACATTTAATAAATTTTTAAGTATATAGGCTTTAGTATCTCACTGTTACAACATTAAGAAACCCCTGACGAAAAGAATCCTGTTTCATGTTTTAAGAAATTCAGTGAAACATTTTCTTACAAATGAAGCAAGTTATTAAAATCTCTATGGTACATGACTTTGAAGAACAAAAAAAAAAAAATGCTCCCTCAGAATGAATAGTCTGTTAAAATGTTTTACTATTTGTATATACCTGTCAGTGATTTTTGCATCAGGTAATTACTCAAAGTTCCCATATGAGATTTTCAAGAACATAGCTGCACAGCTCACAAATGAGTAGGAGTAGTAAAAACAGCTGTGAGCCCAGTGGTCCCTCATGGCTGAGGCAATGGGATATTTCCTTTTTGCGCCAAATTCAGCTTTGACTTCTATCACTATTAAGTCCCCCACTGCCAGGTTAGAGTCAGAGAACAAGGTTCTGCTTAGCCATGCAGATGCTGTAGCCTGTGGTCATGTGAGAGGCAGACCCCTGTAGCTGGCTTTGATGCCCTTGACTCATTTTGTCTGTAGATCTCCATGGGAGGTGTAGACTGCATAAGTTTTGGAGTTGCAATGGGTTTTTACACAAACTGTATTCTCATAAGAGTCCCATGTTAAATTATTTCTATGTGGGGGAAAAAAAAAAAGGGGTTTGAGGGGCTGGGGCACCCAATCATTAATCCATATGCATGACAGAAAGCTGCAGAGTGAGAACATTGCATTGTCACCTGCATGGTGACCACTGAGACCATAGTGTGAAAATGAGTATGTCCTGGCTGGGATAAGAAAATCTTTCTTTTCTATCTTAATTTGCAGAATTATGCAGACATTTGTTACACAACAGTGGAAGAACAGTAAAGAAAAATCTAACTGTACGCACAATAAAAAGGTGTCTGACAAAAAGGTGAAATCCCCTCTGCACATCTTTTCTACATTGCGCAGGTAATAGCAAGGAAAATGAGCTGTTATCACCCTAAGCTGTTCAAAATCCACAGCAGACTTGACAAGGTGAAATCTTGACTTTTCTCCACAGAGAAAATTTATATCTATTTATATCTTACCTCATGGGTTTCCAGTCCTTGCATTACATGATATCAGGAGTGAGCTAGGTACTGCTGCAGCTTCTAGGATTATTAGTAGCAAGAGCATTTCAGTGCCCTGCTTTCTGAAACAACCTCAATCCATCTAGAACTGGAAATAATTATTTTAACTTGTGTTTGTATTTTTATTTTATCTTTGGTTGAATATTTTTATTCATCAAGAATAAAAATACAAGTAATACTTACGTATAGCATATGTTATGTATATTTAAAAAAACGATGTTTGTACAGCTCATCTTTATACAGCAGTTTGTATATTTAGTTCTCTAAAAGTGGAATGGTCTTTAATGAAAGACTGAATTTAAAGATGCTGAGCACCCTCCCCTCTCCAGTATTTGACTTCATTAATGTTTTCCACTTCTGAAATGCAGGCACAGAATTTCAAAGAGAAAAGACATTAGAAAGCGTAAGAAAGAGTTTATGAATAGTTTGAATGAATTTGAATGTAATACGATTTCTGCCAGTTGCTCATACTCGTAAGTATATGTAGAATCAGGCTCTGATTTTGCCTTTTTTAGGGTTGTAACTATTTACTCAAGTGTGTTTTCCTGATTATGGAGAGTTGACAGATCACCCCTTCAATTCAGTTACTGAATTTGAATCGAATGTTTCTTTGAATATTCCTTATTTTTCACAAATTTTGCCATTCTAAATTCAGGGTATGAAAAGGAGATATAGAATACAGCAATCACTCAGATTGAAAAAGGAGGGAATGTCAAAGATTACAGAAGATTGTCTATTCAAAGGCAGAGGAGGAAAGACAGTGTTTTAAGTAGAAGTCTTACCCATTCCATACCACTGAACATGCCACTGCCAAGCACAGGCTGTAGTCTGGGGTTTGTTTTTATTCAGAAAGGGCATACAAAACCAGCCCATTCTTTCTCCTCTTGGTCTGGGGGTTTAAGTCCAGAGATGGCTCAGCCCAAATGCAGGGAATCTCCCCCAGGGCGCCATTCCTGCCTCCCATCTGTAGGAGGGTGATGGTGAGCCAGCTGCTTACAGTGAATCAGCAGCCTCCACGTGCATCCTCCACTGTCAACACTTGCTAACAGGGTGGGGAAGCCTGCCAGCTCTCCCCTTGGGCTTTTACTTCTCTATTTGATGAAAAAAAAAAAAAAACCAAACCAAAAACCAAACCAAAAAACAACAACAAAAAAAACCAAGACCAAAACCAAATTAACTAAAAGTCAACAAACAAACAAACAAAACCCCCAAACAAATAAACTCCAAACATTGGTGTTGCATATAAAACATAGGAAAATGATTCAGCATACCTCTTGCATGTTCTTTGCAAGGACAGGCAAACGTGAACCTTACAGAAATGTGACCGTTTGTGTGAACATTGTTTCGTAAAAACCTTTCTGCATTCGTAATTTAGGTCTCTCACATTCTCATTTCTGGTGTTACAGAACTAGGATTTGTCTATAACACGAAAGAAGGGTATAAATTTGTCTTTCTCAAAGTGCCCAGTTTATTATGATGTTCTTAAAATAATGTCCTTTTCATCTGAATTAAATTTGATTTAATGTCTCCAGGTTTCACTGCTCATTCAATCTTCCATTGGATCTGAACATAGAATTTGTTATGCTGTGTCCAGAATACAATGACTTTCATGGGATTGTGTCATAATCATTACATAAAAAAGATAGATTTTGTTAAGGAAAATGTGTTATAAGTGGTAGATTTCATTTCAAAGATAATTTCCTGAATAATTGGCTTGTTTTGAGACATAGAGACCTTAACAAAAAGCTGTAAGGTCACAGCTCTAACTTCTGCTTAAGTACTTAAGTACTTAATTGTCTTTTTGATTAATGACCTGTAAATAGGAGTAAGTGGTTTGTTTTGGTATTGGAAGATGTTTATACGCAATTGTTATGTTTTAAAGGTTTGGGTTGCATTTATCACTAGGGAAATGATGACAATTAGAGATGTCAATTGAAAGTGACAAGTGAAAGTGTTTACATCTGTGTGATCTTGCTTGATTTGCCCAAGATTTTGATTATTCTCCAACTTTGCCATCTTCTTTATTCTAAGGTCGCCAAGTTATCCTCCACCTGGCTGTGGTAAAAATAAATCAAAACTGAAGTCAGAACAGGATGGCATCTCCAAGACTCACAAATTACTGAGAAGGACTTGCTCTAGCACAGTGAAGGCGGAGGATGTGTGTGCCACAAAATCTCACAGAACCTTTGGCCGCTCGTTATCGAGTGACCCTAGGGCTGAACAGACAATGGCTCTTAGATCGCACAAACTGCTGAGTCGCGCTTGCTCTGCAGCTGTCAAGCAGGAGGAGTGCATCACTTTAAAGCCCCATAAGGTGTTAAATAGGTCGTGCTCTGGGGATCCTCGATGTGAGCACAACAGCACCTTGAAGCCCCACAAACTTTTAAGCAGATCCTACTCCAGTAACCTTAGAATGGAAGAATTGGATGGATTGAAGAATCACAAGTTGCTCAGCAAGACCTACTCCAATGCCCCTAAATCATCCAAAATGGAGCCTTTCAAGGAGTCCACCATGGCAGAGAGCAGGAGGCTCTCTCTTACCTCAGGGCTTATTGGTATCTTAACACCATCCTCATCATCACCTTCACAAGCTGCTGTGCGTAGTATTTTTTTTGTATTCTGCTCATTTTCCTCCTATTGTTTTCCAAATGTGCTATTATGCTTTTTGTGCAAAGGCATTAATGCTTAGGATATATGTAAGTGACTATATTGGATATACTGGAAGACAAGAGCAATGAAGTCAGCTTTTTAAGGAGGATTCAAACAGCTGTGCATATACATATACTTAAGTTATAAAATCAGAATCTGCTGGGGTCAGGACAGAAGTTTTATGTGCTGTGTTGAAATGCAGCTCAATGGACAGCTGCTGATCATGGGAAAAATTCAGTCACCCACTTCTTCCCTGCATACTTCTTGCAGGAAAAAGGGAGAGTGTGCACTTCTGTGCTGCAAAATTAGGTTGGTTGCAGAGAACTTTCCTCATTTCCCTGCTTGCTTTGTTGGGGAAGCCACTGTCCATTAGATGGTTTGACTGCTACATCACCTCTCCTTCTGGTCTTTGCATCTGCCATTATCATCATCATCATCATCATCATCATGATGATCTTCACCATCATACTGGAATGAACTCAGTCATGGTTCCACTCACCTGTTGCACATTTGTGATTTGTGAAGGGTTAAACCTTCAAATATGCCACATAACATCAGAGGCCAGACAAGGAGCTTGGGTCCATGCTGGCCCTCTTGCTTTCCTCAAAGACATGATCAGTTGGGAAAACAAAGGATAGCATATACTCTTACATTTAAGAAAGAGTTCTCAAAATCAATTCGTCTGCCTATGCCTCTTAAAAGAAGGCTTTTTTACTTTAGAAGGAAGAGTGGGTTTGTTTGCAGTCTTTCAAGACAACAGCCTGTTTATAGTGTTTGATCTGGGGAGAAATGTTTAGAAAATAGTTCTCTCCACTCCCTTTGCCTGGTGGTACCTTGAAAGCTGATTCTTCCTTCAGATACCATACATATGTTTAAAGTAGTGCATTCTGAATAATGAAGTTACATTGAGTGCACTATGTTTCATGGCAATTTAGTTTAGTAAGCTTTAAGCTATACTCTTCAGATCTAAAAGCAGGGATACACTATCGTGACATCATTTATATATGTATGCTGTGTTGTTGATTTATGTGATATGCACAGCAAAATTAATTTGAGCCATCAGACTTTCTGCTTGTTGCAGTTTAGAGATGCACTTTTTTCTGATTCAGCAGAGGATGTATTAACATAGCAAGACTTTTCTCTCCTGACATTAACAGGAAAAGTCCCCCTGTTTTATGTAAGATAATGCAGAGCTGTATAGGTTTCATTATTGATGTTATCAGCTGATGGGGAACAAAGGCAAGCCCTGTTTGGCAGCCTATAAAAACTACCCGTAATTTATTGCTTCCATGCACTTACTTTGAGGGAAGATCATCACATACATGGTCAGATGTAGTTTGACTGATGTTAGTGGAAGGGGATCAAGAGCCTATTTCACATTTTATATACTGGCACCAGATATATGAGTAGCCTGAGTGCCTAACTGCAATTTGAAGTCAGTGGGATGTAGAAGTGACGAAACAAGATACTGAGTTCTCTTCAAAATACTAGAGTCTCATGTATGCATACAAGTAGGATTGTTGCCCAGAAGAAAACTGAAAAGCAGTTAAGCAATTAAAAAGTAGAGAAATGAAAGGAAATAACACTGTTTAAAAAAACTGCCAAAGCACTATAAATAGAGCTGATCTAACTCTACTTAAAACAAGGTTTGATTGAAAGAGATGTCAATCTGGAGGGAAGTCTGAACCTTACTGACTCTACTAACAGAAGTTGTTTCTAATTAATGTTGTTGTGTGCTGAAAGAAAATTAATTTCAATAGTATCTGAGCGTAAAGATCTGTCAGCATGGTGTCTGCAGAAGTGACACCTTAGTTCATATAAAATAAGAAGGTTTTCAGCCTTACTGAGAGTTACAGTAGTCTTTAAAGCCTTAATATACAGCCCAAATTTGGATAGGCAATGCACAGTGAAAATGTAATGGAAGTTACCAAACATCAGTTTATTTGGATGGAGTGAAGGCACTGGTGTTTTCATTGGAGATTAAAGTTTCTCAGATGGTGAGATACAAACCTTCATCAGATTCAAGAACTAGAAAGAAATACTAGAAACCTACCCCATACTCAGTAAACAGTAAAAGGATTGATTATTCATACTTTGGGCCACACAAATGAGAGATCTCTTTAGATGCAAACTGTTTACATATTTACACACAAAAACTTACAAATGCTTTACCATTTCCTTATAATTAGTCTGTCAACACTGAAGTTGCCTCAACTTTTTCCTTGCAGCAAAATTATGGTGCAAAATGCATTCCGGTGCGAGACCGTGGCTTTCTTGTACAGGTAGGATGTCATGTCCTGTTCATTTATGAAACACTGTGGAGCATGAGCTGACTGTTAATAATTTTTAAGCAGATACTATTCTCATTTTCATTGTTCTCAGACTATTGAATTTGCTGAGCAGCGGATACCAGTATTGAATGAATACTGTGTAGTTTGTGATGAACCTCATGTGTTCCAGAATGGCCCTATGCTAAGGGTAAGTGGTATGCTGGTAAACAATGCATTTTATAGTGCCTTTAATAGCTGTAGACCATAAAAACCTGTTGGAAGACTATTGAATAATTTCAGATGGAGTTTCATTCTAATACTCTTTTGAGATGCAAAAATATGAAACATATTAACTAGATTTTGCTGTAAATTTGGAAAAAAAACTCATACGAAGAAGGGAGAGAGAAATTAGGGTTGTATCATATCACAGATTATGTAAAGGGGCATGTATTTCACTGAATACTATTGTGCTGCAGTCACAGTCACATAACACAGAGAAATGCGTTACAGTGCTCTCCCAGTCCTCTGGCATCCTTCTGAGAGCTTAGGGCACCTCATCCCTAAGCTTTTATCAAGCCATGAGCATGGTATTTATATACACTGGTGCTCATACCAGCACTCTGCGAAATTCTTCTGACCTTGTTTGGCTCACAGGCTGCTTGAACGAGCCGTCCTCAAATGTGATAAAAGTCAGTAAAAGGAGACGCTCCATAAAGTGCCTGATCTAGCAGTAAATCAGTCTAGGGGCACTGTTGTGGCTCAGTGTGCCTGAAGCCTGGCCAGTGAGCTCTTCCTTTCATTCCTGTATGACCAGGAACAGAATTTTGCCTGCTGATCATTGTAGCCTCTCTCATGCTGTTGGTGAATGCGTACAGTGGAAAGGAGTAAGACTGGACTTGAGATGCACACTGGTTGGAGTTGCTGCCTCAGTGCAGCTTGGGAAAGAGTATATTTTGACATGGTGCCAGAGCTGGCTAGCTCTCCCACAGCTCCGTGCTGAGAATGGGACACACCTTGGGAGCGGGCTGACCCAAGGTGCGGCTTAGACCAAATGCTCTACGGCACTGGTCTAGCATCAGGTACAGGGTGGAGGCAAGGACAAGGAGAAGGCCTTTTGTATGAGTTCCAAGGAAGGTTTATTTCCAGGGAGGGTCCAGGGACAAAAGACAACAAGGGCACAGCAACTTATATACAGGGGAGGATCAAGGGGAGGGCACAAAACTTCAACCAATAAGGGACATCTTGGGGAGGAGTACAGGGTGGAGTTACGTAAACCAATAGGGATGACAAGGGGAGGAGAATGGGTCACATGGACCAATGGGACATGGAGGATTAGGGGAATTCCAAAGAGATTGTTTGGGTAGGGGGTTGGCCTAAGGGAGATTAACAACTGAGGTGAGGAGAGACATGGAACATTCGGGAACAAGGTGCAGGTATTAGGGTAGATTGACAACTAGGATAGGAGGATACAACTTGGACTGAACCATTAACATAGGGGACAACAAAATAAACCATTAAAAGGAAAAACATGGAAATACACCACAACATCTCCCCCTTTTTTGTTTGTAAAGCAGAGTTGTGGTTTTGACCGATCCATTCCCATTTTGGGTACACGTCTCCCCACCAGGGCTGCTCAGTGGGCACTTCCACTCGATTAACTTCTGCAGTGGGAGAGATGGTACCAAGGACATTTTTCATTATTATCCTCTTCAGGACGGAGAAGGCAAATAAGGGATATAACAAACAAGACCAACAAAAGAGCACATTACTTGTAGTTTATTTGAAACAGGAACATAAGTGAATCAACTGGGGGATCAGGTTCTCCTGTTCCTAGGTGCCGGTGGAAAGATGCCACAGCCACATTTTTGATTCAGCTGATCATAACAATGGCTTAAGGATGTAAGGCTTGATCCACTTCTGGAGGACTCACTTCAACCCAGAGGGCATGGATACTCAAGTGTACCCATGTCCCCATGTTACCAACTCATGTGGGCCCTCGACTTATCTCTGTTTTTGGAGTCTTTATCAACATTGTTGGGTGTTCTCTTTGCTCTAGCTATTCTTGAAATGCCTGACAACAGGCAGATTTAAGTTTTCAAACAGGCAATTCAGGAAATTTATGGTGAACAATGCTTTGCAGAGCTTTATTTGGGGTGTATCTATGGTGGTATTGCCCTGCTGCTGCCCCAGGACTTGCTTGAGCGATTGATGGGTTTGCTCAATGATGGCTTGGCCTGTGGGGGAGTAAAGGATGCCCATTTTATAATTTACTCCCTATTTCTGTAGGAACTCCCTGAAGGCCTTGGAGGCATATGTAGGACCGTTGTCCATTTTGATTTCTTTAGGGATCCACAGCACAGAGAAGGCCTACACCAGATGTTTTTGTGCATCAGCGGCCTTCTCCCCCGTGTGGGCAGAGGCATAGACTCCTCCAGAGAAAGTACCACTGACTCATGGATGTACTTCAGCCTGCCAAACTGTGGAACGTGTGCCACACCTCACAGCGGTTTCGGCCTCTGGGGTTCACCCCTGAACTTAAGGATGGAACAGTGTGCCTTTGGCACCTGGGACATGTAGCCGCTATGGCCTTGGCTTGATCCTCCCTCAGATAGAATTGGTGTACCAGGCCAGGCGCATTTTGGTGGAATTGCTGATGGCTCAACTTTGCCTGCTGAAAGATATTTGGTAATTTGGTCATCTCAACCAGGGTGGCCAGGGCATCTGCTCTTCTCTTTCCTTCTGCAATGAATCCTGGCAGGTCAGTGTGTGACCTTACATGCATGACATAGAAAGGCTGCTCTCAGTGGGAGATGAGAGAAACTAATTTCAAGAGCAACCTGAAGAGGTCGGGATTTGAGACCTCCTTTAAAACAGCGTTCTCTGCTCTAGACACTACCCTTGCCACATAGGCCAAGTCAGTGACTAAGCTGAATGGTTTGGGAAACCTCTCATAGGTCCTGATGACTGGAGCCAACTCAGCAATTTGAGGGGACCTCTGAATTTCCTTAACACTCATCTCCCACTGCTGAATTTGAGGATCACTCCAAGTCATTACTGACTTGTGGGATGTTCCAGATGTGTCAGTAAATGCTGTCAGAGCAGTCTTAAGTGGTTTCCAGCTCTGTTTTCCTTATGAAATCAATTTGAATGCTGAATTAAGTAATTTGTGGGCTGGACTATGGATTGAAATTTGTCCAAGTTAACTATCTAGAGTGACTTGGAGTGTCTCATTCTCCCTGAGCAACTGCTCTAGAACCTCTTTCGTTAACTTACCTGATGACAAAGTAAACGGCAGATCAAGTCACACCCCTCTAATTCAGGCATTCTTGTCCTGGCCTTCCTTAAAATTGAGCCATCAGCTCTTTTGGCTTTGTGATGCTTTTGGGCCACTGGTGCCTGAGGAACACCCACTCTCTGACTAGGAGTGGATCCCTGTGGCCTTTGTCCCATTGGAAGATTAGGCCATGGAAGTATGGCAATTTCCCTAGAATGATAAAATTGAAGGGGAGGTTCAGCCAATTGTCTATCTGGCCCCTGAATTTTTATGATGCTCTTTGATTGTTTTGTCAGTTGAATGCCCCCAATGTCCTAGATGCTACCGGCAACGGGTTGCAATTCCCAATGTGATAGCCATTTACTGGAGGGTATGATTGTCACATCTTCGCCCATGCCCAGCAGTCTGTTGAGGTGATGGTAATCCTCACCTTGGTGGAGCCCACACCCCATCATTATCTTTTTTTGGCCCATTAGCTCTGCCCAGTAGACACAAGGTGCTGCATCATCTACAGGACGTTTGTCTGGCAGAGGTATGGCTTGGGCGATGATGTGGCCCTTTTCAATGACATAGGGTGGGTGGATGTAGTGTGCTGTGAGAGTGAATCCTTCCAGCCCTAGTGTTATCATAGCTGGAGACACCTCAGTCTCAGGGGGCATGTACTTAGTGTCCCCGATAACGATGTACTTACAGTCAAGGCTGGTGAGCATGTCCAAATCCCATGGGTCAAGTGACACTACCTGCCAATGCCTGGTCTCAAAGCTGACTGGCTTGGTGGTACACAGTGTGAATGGTGCATGTGGCTTCCACAGCCCTCCTGGTCTCAGCGATGACCTGCCTCATTTTTATCATCATGTGAGGCAGGTCCGCAGTCCTCCTTTAGTTTTTGTGAGGCTGTTTCCCTTTTCCCCCCTGTAAGTTCATTTGAAACTTCCCTAGGGGCTGTCTTCTTGGGCAACCCCGAGCTATGTGTCCCTCCTCCCCACAGATCCAGCACTGTAGTGGTCCTGGTGGTCTTATGGTGGGTGCTGCTGTTGGTGTTTTCTCAAAGCCTCTCTGTCGTGGCTCCAGGATGGCAGCTCTCTTGTTGCATGCCTTTATCATTAGATCAAGAGTTGGTGGTGGCTGGAATGGCAGGGCCTGGATAATCCTCCTGCAAGTCTCATTGGCACTGGGCCGAGCTACATCCACCATAATTTGATCTTGCAGTTGCTGACTCTCCACCTGACCTTCCACCGCCACCCAGAGTCTGTCTACAAAATCTAGAAAGGCTTCATTTGGGGATTGTTTAATATCAACATAATTTTGTCTGGGGGCCTTAGTTGGCAACAAAACAAAAACCTTCTCAGCAGCTCTTTTTATATGATCTAATACAAGCCACGGGATTTTCTCTGCCTGTTCGTGGGCCTGTTCCCATTCCCCCTCACCACTGAAGTGGTCCATTGAAATAATATTATTATCTGCATCAATCGCGCAGTCCTGGCTCAGTAATAGCTCAGGAAGGACCTGCAATAGCCTCTTCCATGTCTTTTCCCACAACAGATATTCTGATGGGGAAAGGAGGCATGAAAATACATCATGGTGGTCAGCAGGAACTAGCACGTTTGAGGAAAAAGTGGCCTTTAAAAGACCCCAAAAATACTCACTTTTTCTCCCTAACTCTTGCTGTGCTTTACAGAGGTCTTTTTTATTTTGATAATCAAAAGGCTGCCAATTGCAAGTGCCTTGTACCCTGCTGCGTTTTTCAGGTGCAGCGAAAGGAATGGCCTCCTATTCCAGGCTCCGGTTCCCTGGCCTGTCACTCCCAGTCCCGATCTCATGGGAACCAGAAGTTGGAAGAGGGACTGAGCTACATGAAAAGGAGGAGGGATCAGGGGCAGAGCAAAAACCAGAAGGCGAAGTACTAACTTTCATGGGAATTGGGGATGGAGCTG